CCCCAGCAGCTTGTGGGAAGTTGGCTTCAGCCACATGCTGCTCCGGATGGGACGGATCCAGCCGGGTCAGCACCAGCCAGGAAAAGCAGCATGCAGCTGAAGCTGGCTTCCCACATGCTAACAGGGATGGGAGGAACCCAGACGGAGCGGCAGGGGCTCAGCTGTATTTTCCCCCTGCCTGCACCAGTCAGTCCCGAGTGGCACACGGCTCATTTTACAGGTTCATTTCATGTTTGTAAAATGCTTGGAGAGCCCCACATAGATGCACTGCATAGAAATGCAAAATATATTTTGACTAATTTGGTTGGCACCTTGGGCTAAGATTTTCAAAGCTGAGTCAAAAGGCCAACTTCCATTAAAATTAATAGGATTTAGAGGGCTCCAAATCTTTTACGACAACTTTGTAACATGTCTATCTACGCCTTTTTGCAAATCTCAGCCATAGTTTGGAAGCTCAGCCAAAGAATATAAGAGCTTCTGAACATAAGAGCATAAAAAGTGCCATGATGGGTCAGCCCCATGGTCCATCTAGCTCAGTATCCTGTCCTAAACAGTGGCGGAGGGGGATGCTATAGAGGGAAAGTTTTGAACTGGTTATTCAGACCCATTTCATTGTTATTTCCTGCAACTTCATTGTTGTCAAAGGTCACGTGACATCACTTCCTGATGTGATACCACTTCCTGTGAGGTCTTTGAATATGGCTTGCCGGCGCAGTGGGTGATAAAAAGTTCGTGATCCAGCCCCACATTCAGAAAGGTTGGACACCCCTAGTATAGTGGTACAGTGATGTTCTCTGTTTTGTTTTCAATTCCCTTCAAAATGATCCCAACATTTTATTGGCTATGTCGGTCACTGTTGCACACTGAACTAATTTTTTTAAAGAATGGTCTACAATGATTCCAAGGTCTCTTTCCCCATAACAACTAGTTCAGAACCTGTGGAAAAAGAAACTAGTTTTAACTGCCTTTTTATAGGACACGGACAAACAGTTATAATGCATGTCAGGGAGAAATAGAAAAGGAAAGGAGCGGAGCACAGAAATATCATCACTGGATTCAATCTGCTTGTTACCTTATCATACGATTCAGGATGGAGCTCTCCAATCTGTCTCCCATCCAATTCAGAGACAGTAATTATATTCAGCAAGGATTCGGGGATGAAGGATTCTACTGTCTGTTTCAACCACCTTGATCTCAAAATATCATACTCATTACAGTGAAAATGACCTAAACACAAATGATCTAAAATCAATTATTTATAAACTTTACAAATGTAAGACATAAGTACAAAAATGCTAGTACTTTAACTGGGCTTATCTTATGTATTCTATAACTGCTGAATTTTTATAAGTCCTAGTAAATCTCAACATGCTCCTAAAAGGTGCTTCACAAATATTTAATACTAAATAACTAAAGTAGCCTAAGACTATCACACTAAATCAAACTTGAAAAGATAACCCACATTCAAAGATCAGTGCTATGAAAGTATTTTTCCAAGTTCTTTCTATTGTCATGTAGAGGATGCATATGCCCTTTTAACTGATTATAAACTTTGTTTTCATTTTGTGTTTGTAAGCATTTCAATTCATCTGCTGGAGGTTTCAAGCTATTGTATTAGCATGAACACATTTATCCTTTTCATTCCTACTAGCAATACAGCCCTGACTTGTTCCATCAGGTCACATTTTCCTCTTGCGTTTGCCACTAGCAACTCAGTGCCCCCAATCATTTCTCTCTTTTCTAGTCTCTTATACCATCCAGACACCTATGAGCTTGGTCATATAACATGCTAGCATGCACTATCTTTTACTGAAAAATTTCTCTCAATTTTTCTACATTTCCATTAACCAAAGTCTGTTCCATTTACAGCTAAGGTACAGAATAATCCTAAATCACACTCTCAAGATTCTCCTGCTACCTAACAAGTTTGGATCGGTCTTTCACCCTCACACAGATTGCTTCACTATCCAGCCAACCCAGTGCAATTAAAGTTCCACATTAGCACAAAGACAGAAAAATATTTGAAGCCCATAGAATATTTGCTTTCTTGTGTCAAGAAGCCTGCAAATAATTTATAGCTGAAGTGGTATGTTTGATAGCAGCATATAACACAGTGAATGCATTCTAGAGAGCAAGAAAAAGCACCTGTCTTTTTCAGTCTTCAATAACCTGCAGGTAAATTTGCATTTTAATATCTTCTGGTTTTCTTCCTTTCTGGGTTAAAATGGCTCCACAAAACTTATAGCACAATCTCAAAAGTACTCTGGACCTGAATAAATACAGGTAGCATTTCACTCTCTATCTCTTTTTCCTAATTCTAACTAGCATATTGATACTATACATTACCTGGATATGCACACTGTAGCATAGCTATTGATTTACCCCCAGGAGCAGCACACATATCCAAAACCTCTTCCCCATCTTTTATGTCCAGTGCCAGTACTGGCAGAAGTGAAGCAGCATTCAGCAGATAATATTCCTTCAGTTTACCAATCTGGTGCTTTTGTGCAGGGAACCTCCCAGGAATTCTACTGATGTAACACTTCAACGATCCCTTAAGATGGGGCAAGGTTTCTTGAAAGAGATTATAATATCCCTTCAGATGCAAGTTGTTCTCCAGCTCAGAGGAATAGCTGAATTTATTCAGTAGGACACCATATTGCCAGAACAGTGGTGATGTGACCACTTTCCTAGAGAATTAAAAAAAAAAAAAATATATATATATATTTGATACAGTGGGAGGCAAAATTAATTTTCTGTAACTTGATACACTTCTCATTTCAAAGAATAAAAAAGAACCAAGAGCCAACAGCAAGGATTTTTTGCACATATTAATCACAGCATTTTAAGTGCATTCTAGAGGTATAGTCTGCTTACATGGCTTAATTATATACTGTGCCATAAACTATAGCCTCCTCTCGTTTTAAATGCATTACTTTTCAATGTCATAAGACACCCTTCCTTTTTTTCTTGCATCAAGAGGAAAGGCCAAGTAGGAGTACTCGATTTTCCATAATATTTTTTATATACAAAAATGCAGCAATTCCTGGCCCCTGGTGTAGTGCTCATTTTATCACAAGGTCCTTAGAGTACCATTTCCTTTAACTTTCCACCAGGAAAATATGTAGCTTTACTTTCTACTACATCAACATTTTCCAAATGTTACCTGTTGCAACAGAAGTTGCATGAATTTTCTTTAAACAACCTATCCAATCTAATTCAAAATTAACCTTTCACTCGGTTCTTCCAAACTAACATTTCCTGAATTAATAATCTTTTTGTTTCATAAACTTTCCTTTATCGGTGGCTATTAGAAATAAAAAGCTATTTTATTCCAAACAAATCTTGTCAGAGAGTAAAAGGTCTCTGTTTAGGATCAAAATACTAATTAGGATTTAAAATACCCTTTTTAAAATAAGTGTGTTTTTCCTTTTGGAAAAATACTGTTTGCTGACTTCAACTCTAGAATTTCTTTTTAAAAATCAGGCCTTCTAAACATATGTATTTTGGGAGAATTTAGACTGCCAAATTGACTATCCTGATTCATATAGAGAAATTGATCCATAAGGACTATAAAGTGCTTCTGCACCTGAACTACATTTAACAGCAGATACTAGTGCTTCCAAACAAGCATATTTAAAACCAGTATCAATTACAATCTTCCTTTTAAAAGCTTTTAAAGGAAAAAAAAAAGGTTTAAGACAGAGAGATTTTCAGTACTGAAGATTAAACTATGTTCAAAATTCTGTTTCTTTCTTGGGTCCCCCACCATCTTCTACATCTCTTAACACATGCACAGTGTTCCTTCTGTGTTGTTTTCAAGGTTTTGACTAAGCAGCAAGGAGAGGAACAAAAAGTATTAGAACAGTGTTTAAGAATAAAGCATTTGGTAATCGGCCCAGGACTTATCCTCAAACGCTTTTCAAACAGTAGCACATTGTGAGTTGGGTCCTATCTGCACCGTATTAGAAAAATATATTGGAATTGTATTTTACTATCCTGTCAGGTTAAAAAAAAAAGTTCTTCACTACGCAGTGTTATTGGGCTATTGCGCAGTTAGTGTCTCGCGTAGATGCAGCCAGTGTGTACAACAGAAAGGGCCAATGTTGGGCTCAAGACAGAAAGGAACAATATTCTGTGGAGTATAGAGCAATCTGATTTCAACACCTGGAAAATGGAAGAAAATATTGCCATAGCTCTAGCTTGCAAAAAAGACCCTATTTAGGAATACTTTCACAAAATTCCTGCATCACTGGACAAAGGAGGACCACATGCCAAACATAAACAGTGCAACAAAGAAATGCAAGGCCTGGCAGCCTGAATGAAGCAACATCATGAAAAATGCTTATCAGAAGGCAATAACTTTAAAGATGGTGTGAATGTGTCTGAGCCACCTGGATCAACTGGTTATTGAACTTAGTATTTTGAAAACCATTCTTATGGATTGCTTACCATATATTATAATACTAGTAAATAATACATTTATGACAATAATGTTACTTATTTTGGGTGGATTACTTACGAATTTTAAAATGTTTATTCAAAATCCAGTGGATGTGCTAGCCTGTGGGAGTATTTGTCAATTATACATTTTTAATATTACACCTGCACTCCTGAAATGACTTTTATTGCTCAGTGTAAACAAATATACAAGTCCTAGGTGAAGCAATCCTGTGAGAAATAAAGTTTTAATATGAATTTATTCATTTAAAAAAAAATAAACATTTTTCCCT